AAAATCAAAACAAATTCGCGAAAAAATCCGAAAAGATAGTTTTATTTAGAAATAAACAAAGCAATTTTGAAGATTGAAATTAACGTTAAAGTTATTAAAATTTAATTTTCTGTTTAATAAATGTTGATTTTTATAAAAAAATGCCTTTTTTTAATACATTTCACCAGACAATTAAAATTCTTCAAAAACTTACCCGTTTAAAAAAAACATTTATTCTTATAAAAGTCTCGAAGTCCCGGGAATTCCCGGGACTTTGATTGTAGACTGTCGTGTCTCAGGACTTTGAAATTGTCGGAAATTCCCAAACCCTAGTTGATACACTGTTTATGTAATCAGATTTCCTACTGTAATATCGGGATATACATATTTTGCTTTTTATCTTTAACAAATATGTTAAAATATTTTGACTAATTTATTTCAAGGAATTGATAAAATACTACTGATAGTTCCCGTGGGATAGATTTGTTTCTGTTTTTTTGTCTGTGTTCTGGTATAATATATTTAGAGAAAATGTTATTTTTTGTAAATAAGAATCCAAAGAGTTGTTCATTATTTGGACCTTCAGGCTTTAGCCTAAGTTTAGGCTTAACCTTTAGGCTTAGCCTAAGTTACACTTTACTTTCTTGACCTTCACTAGATATTGTTGCTTAAACAAGCATATGTTCAATCTGGGGCTGGGTGAAATACAAACCTGCAGAATATGTATGAAGGCAGATGAAACAGCGCTTCATCTTCAGGGGGAATGTGAACCGATCATGCACAGATGCAGTATCCATCTAGAGAAACAATTTCTAGGCCCAGACGATTTAATGGAGAGTATATATATAGTAGAAAGTAATATATATAGTAGAAAATCCTGCAGTTTATCATCCATGCAGACTTTAGTGGTTTACTCTAGTACACAATGCCTCATCATAATCCGTACACAATCACAATAGACCAAGAATGGTCGCAGTGACATCGTATAACGGGTATTGATATTCTTTTTGAATTTTATATATAGCTTTAAGGAAAAAAATATTATTACTGGTATTATTAAAAAACAAGCTAACTAGAGAACAATAGATTGAACTCAAATTATTTTAATGAATGCATTTCTGAGGTTGCAACCTGAGCTCCTCCTCCTCAGGCATTCAGCCCGCACCAATATAAAGTGACAGTCATCTAGAAGCCGCGAGAAATAAATAAAATCATAATTACTTTAATATCTAATGGAGGTCCACCACTTGGATGGCAGCAAATAATAATTTCCGCAACCGTATATTTAATAATTAGCATTGCCCGCGGCTCCGCCCGCGTTCAGATGACCAAAAAGCAAATTCTTAGGTTTTACATATTACTTTACACTTACAATGCAGTTTTTGTATTTTTTCTCAGAAATGAGATATTTTCCCGCGGTAAAAAGTATCCTATATATTGACCCGGATAACTAGCTATCACCATACCAAATTTCATCAAAATCCCTCCAGTGGTTTTTCCGTGATGCGGTAACAGAGAGACAGACAGACAGACAGACAGACAGACAGGCAGACAGACAGACAGAAAGACAGACAGACAGACAAAAATTCTAAAAGATTCGGCCTCTGTATCGATAATAATGTTTCTTTCAATAAGATTTTCCAAAAAATATCTAATGTAAAGATTCGCCTTATTTACAATTTTATTATATGTATAGATTTGAAATGACTTACAGCACGGTAATATTATGCATTACATTACCGTGCTTACAGTATCGTGTTTTCAAGTAAAAAATGAATGAGACAAAATATTACCCGCCTCTTTTTAAAAGCTTATTTGATTGCTTTGTTATATCAAATGGGCGGCAGTTTTTCAGTAAAGCGTTACTCAACCGAAATGAAAAAAAATGTTACACAGTAGCACGGAATAAAGGAACAAATGCGTTATTTTTATAAACTGTGAATTTTGGTAATAGTGAAATAATAACAATTATGTAAATGAGATGAATCTATCTATATATATAATTGTTGGCACGCCTGTTAGTAAGTAAAAATGGTTCGTGTACAATTATATTTTGAACTTAGTTACGTATGTTGATTTAGTGACAAAAAAGTAAATGTATATAATGAAAAAAGAAATAAAAAAATTAAACCGACTTAAATGCCGCTCATGCAAAGCAAGGCAAATCTATTTCGATAGTATAAATCATTATTATCATTTTTAGTTGAAATAAATGTAAGCAAATAAAAAAGTATGATCACTAAATGATAACTAGTTTCGGAAAAATGCGTAGACATACATACATATATTTATAAAATGTTGTATATTTATTTGAAAGCCCTAATAGATTATCATATTATGTGAATATTTTGCAGTTCCAATTATATTACATACATACGTGTCGAATAGATAACCTCCTTTTTGAAGTCGGTTAAAAACTTAAAGATTAATTACTGTAGGCTTTGGCCTTAAAATACAGGCAGTCTAACGCAATACTGCCTTCTGCTCTTAATCCAAGAGTCAGAGCCTATGCACACACGTAATTACGAACGCGCGTCGGATGCGTGTATTCTCTGCTGATAAACTTTACGCCTACGATATAATCGTTGGCTCACTATTACAAGGTTCTGTTACAATTTTTGTACTTATTTAATTATTAATGCTACAAGGTTCTTTCTATGTGTCATTAGCTACAGTTTTACAAAAACAAACCACTAGATAGCGGCACTATAACTACAAAATATTCAATTTTACAAAGTTCTATGTTGTTTTTTTTTACGATAACAAAATAATGAAGTTCTATGTAAAAATTACTAAACTCCTTTAAAATTAACATAGAACCTTGTAATATAAGCCAACGAATTATGTATTACGTAACTAGAACTTATATCGTCTGCGCGCATTCTATGTACGCTGATAAATTTAAAAAATGCGGATTGCTTGCATTCGTATAAGCGCGCATCAGACACGCGTCGTTACAAAGTCGTCGCGTGCATTGCCCCTTAAACGTAAGCCATACATACAGATGATATAGAATGTACATTTATTGATACTTTCCGCTATCAAACAATTGACTGATTTATTAGCCTATATATTTTCGTTATGATATATTCATATACAAATAAGTTTGCTTTTCAACGCTCATGCAGCAATATATATTGATATGTATACTAGCGGTTCACCCTCGCTTCGCTCGGGTTCGTCGCTAGGTACGTTTTAAATGTATATAAATAGTTATTACTCAGCGTTAGCCATATAAATTTCAATATGGTTGTTAAGTATTCTTAAATAAGTATTCTTAATTTTTATAATTTTCCGCACATTTTTTAAATTTTTTCTTTCATAAGAACCTTCTCCTGACAATAACAAACACAACAAAAAAATAGTTAAATCGGTCCAGCCGTTCACGCGTGATGGCGTGACCAAGGGAAATAAGGATTCATTTTTATATATAAAGAAGATAGAAGATTGTATATGTATGTATATTATATGTATTTAGCCCATTATAAAGTAACACTGCTGGGCACGGGCCTTCCTTCAATACGAGGGATCAGGCCATAGTTCACCATGCTGGCCAAGTTCGGATTTCATGGAATATACTTGAAAGAACGGTTTAAAAAATTGTATGATTTTCTTGAACGAACTTTACAGATAATGATATTGTATTTAGCCAATTAAATCAAACCGAAGGTTATATTACAGGTCGTCACGCTACCCTTGCGCAGTAAGACTAAATAACTTGCCTTTGTTACTTCCTATATAATTAATCATAATGTTAATAGTATCTTTGTATATACGAGTACGACATGGCTCAGTTTGCAGTGACCCTACTTGCTGTGCCAGCAGTCGCAGGTTCTAGTCCCGCTAGGGGCATTGATTTGTGTGATGAGCACGAACGTTTGTACTCATAGTCATAGGTGTTTGTTTATATTAATAATTTGTATGTATTTAAAGTTATATATTATGTGTAGTGTATCAACTATCTGTTATCCATAACACAAGCCTCGTAGCTTACCATTGGAACTAGATGGTGCTGTGTGTTAATGTCAACAACTCAACAACTACTTCGTCGCTAACTTCGTTTTAACGTTTAGTATAGGTTTCTCAAAGATATTTTCCCGCAGTAAAAAGTATCCTATATATTGACCCGGATAACCAGCTATCATCAAACCAAATTTCACCAAAATCTGTTCAAAAACTAGAGAGAGATTGTCCTAAAAATATTTAATGTACAGCTTCGAATCAGTTAGAATTTTATTATGTGTAGATACCAATACCGTAGTAACATTTATGTATATAAATCTATATACCTAGATGAAAGTTACTGTGCTGTCTGTGATCAATTCTAAAATAATTTATCAACGCCTATAAATATTTATTAGTTTTACGTAAGATGTTATTCTAATATTTGAATTATATTTTTATGTTTAAGCCTAAATCTTACTACTTTATAATATGTAAATGCGAAAGTTTTGATGGATGGATGTTTGTTACTCAATCACGCTAGGATGGCTGAGAGGATCTGCATGAAATTTGGCACAGTGATAGATGATAGTCTGGAATAGCATATATTTACTATCCCGGAAAAATGTACGGTTCCCGTGGCATAGATGTTTGTGTTTTTTGCTAGGGACGAACCGGAGCGAAATCGAGGGTGAGCCGGTAGTAAATAATAAATATTTTTATTATTTCTGTTTAAACTAATTAACAGGTTTTACACTCCATCCGTATTAAATACTCGCTTTCACCCGTAACACGTCTAATTAACTATGATTATGAGAAATCTTAATTCTCTTCTAATATTTACTCTTACAGGAATCTTTTTCCTATATGGAAAAACCGTTTAAAACTGTTGATCTCATCCTCTCAGCAAACCTCTTTTTTTACCTTCTTAAAAAGTAGCCCATACCTAACCCAATAATTCCCAGTCAATACGTTTCAGTTACGCATACTAAAAAGTATTCACTGGGCTTATTTAAAAAAAGAATTTAGTAAAAATAATTTGTAAATTAAACAATAATAATAATTATTTATTTACAGTAATGGCGCCCGAATCATCGGTAAGGGATTTTTACAGAGGCAAAAGCGTTCTGGTAACTGGTGGAACAGGTTTTATGGGAAAAGTTCTCTTAGAAAAACTTTTATACAGCATACCAGACATCGGCAATGTGTACGTATTAATGAGGCCAAAAAAGGGGAAGTCCATTAACCAAAGGCTCGAAGAGATGCAACGTCTACCAGTAAGTGTCCATTTGTATGAAAGAAAATGATATTATGGAAAGAAAATCAACACACATTTAAATAAATATATTTAAATCTTTAGAAGTCAAATAAAATTAAACTTAAAAAGAATTTAAAAATAGAATCGGAAATACTTGCATTATTATTATATATTCAAGTCATCTAAGATGACTTCCATTATTGTAGAATAATATGAATGTTTCAAAAAAACGAGCACAAATGACTTGTAACTTTAAATTAAAATTTCAAAGCGTTATTTCTTAATGGTAAAATAATTCTATCATTGTACAAAATAAAAACTTTATCTTAAAATCTTAACTTATAAACTTTTTGTACAACCTGCTTTACTTACTTTAACCCCTTATATTGTCACTTTATATATAGTACAATAAATAAATTATTATTATTATTATTATTATATTAATTGACTATTTTACTGTTAGGAAAACAACATAATAATTTCCATTCATTTTTCATTTAAATTCATTATGAGTGACAAGTTGAATAAAAATTAATGATAAACGTTTGAATTAAATATTAAATCACGATTCATTCAAAGTAAAATTTCAGTTATTCGATCGTCTGAAGAATGAGAAACCTGAAAGTTTTGCGAAAATAATCCCACTTCAAGGAGATGTTTTGTTTAATAATTTCGGATTATCGGATAGAGAAATAGAGAACATATCTAAAGAGGTGTCAGTACTATTTCACTTCGCTGCCACCCTAAGATTAGAAGCTCCTCTAAAAGATAACGTGAACATGAACACTTGTGGCACGCAAAGAGCGTTAAATGTGGCTAAGAAATTAAAGAATTTATTAATCTTCATACATTTGTCGACTGCATTTTGCTATCCAGACTATGCAGTTTTAGAAGAGAAGGTGGGTACTAAAAACCAAATTTTGATAATTATCTGTGTAAATAAAGTTTATTAATTAGTAGGAGATCCCAATCGATGTGGTGGACCCCTCACTCTTTTTCTATGTGAAATCTTTTCTTAACCCATAAAATATATTAACAAACACGATTCAGGGGGGCTGCCATAAATTTGCTCCAGGCAATTTTAATTAAAAAAAAATTTTATTGTTTTTTTTTAAGTACAATAACTCTTTTCCTGTGGCGAATTAGTATCAATTAAAAGTAAAAGATTTGTAGTATGTCATCATTCGTTTGGCCGCTTTTTTCTAACCTGACATCCAGGTGTAAACAGGGAAAGTAAAGTAGTTAATTGCTCGTATTAGTTTCCGGAACGAACCAAGTATCAAAATGTAGATAATTTTATTACAAATTTTATGAGAGAAATTTTATGATATAGGGTTGTCATACCAAAACATCTCCAAACTAGAAGTTTTTTTAGTAAAAAATAGCCTTGAGCAAATTTTTGGTGGCAACCCTCCTAGGTCGTGTTTGTTAATATGTTTTACGGTTTAAAAATTATATTTCGTCTGGAAAAAGAATGAGGGGTTATCACATAGATCGGGATCTTAGACTAAATAAACTTGTGTTTGCGTTATTTTATTAAAACATCAAAAGCTATTCATCATCTATACCTATATGTTTTCTGTAACTCACCGTTAATAATTTTATTTTTAAATGAAAATAACATCGATAAACTCTTTAAAAATAACTCCACTTATTATATTATGATTAACATGAAATATTGTTAATTTTGTAATATTTATGTTCAGTTTCGACCATAAAACATGATTCTGCGCAGATGCACGCGCCACCGGTGAAGCCATCTGAAGTGATGCAGCTCATTGAATGGTTGGATGATAAACAAATTAATTTACTCACGCCTTCACTCCTCGGACCACATCCAAATTGTTATACGTTTTCTAAGAGATTAGCCGAAAGCGTAGTGGAAAATGAATTCAAAAACCTACCTGTCGTCATAGTCCGGCCTAGTATAGGTAAGATAGAACAGGTGCTTTTTTAGAACAAATAAATATAGGTAAGGAATTATTTTTTTGTAGTAGACTGTAGTAAAATAAATAATATTCCTTGTATGCGCACCAATTGAACATTGGCTTGCATTTTAACAACTCTTGCGCAATCGGACATTCTCTGTAAGATTTGCCACCGGGGATCGTAACAGATCCTCGACCCGAGTCATAGTGAACTAAATCATTATATTACCCTTATCTATACTAATATTATAAATAGGTAAAATTTGTGAGATTGTAAGTTTGTGACGTTGTAGGGGGTAATCTCTGGATCTACTGAGCCGATTTAGATGAAATTTAATAAGAAGATAGTTTGAGACCCTGGGAAGGATAAAGGATATTTTATCCCGGAAATCATCCCTTAAATGAAAATGGGGATGAAGTTTGTATTGAGAAGCGAGCTAGGAACGAACCCTGGTGGAATAAGCTCTAAAGCAAAATAATGTTATAGAGTAGTATATTAAGAAATTTCGTCAATATCTATCTATAGTCTATACACAGTAGGTATGAAAATATTACGATGCATGTTTACTAAGAGCGCATAGCCATTAAAGAGGTGTATCGCTTGCGAAATCTGTCTACACGATAGAGATAGATATATGAGTATGGTATAAATCAATAAACAAGATAATAGACCAAGAGTCAATATCAGATTTTATATATTTAACAGCCGTCAGAATTAATTCTATTGAATTAACAAATGATTTTAAATAGGCAACTAATTAATCTAACTTAATATTAAATGCATAATTTTATTTACACAGTTAATGTATTGAATTAAGATTTTAAGAGTTGAAATTTTTTAATCACGATTTATAATTAATTATAATTAAAATTTATGTTATTTAATACAATACAAATTCGGTTTTTTTATAGTAGTTCTCAAGCATGAAAACATGTCTTATGGTCCTCATATCGCTTAAATCAGTCTTTGGAACTAGACGCTACCTCTTTTGACATGACTGGTGCTACTGCACATCTCTGTATTGATCCATAAGGATGTTTTGGAGCTAAACTACTAGGCTTTCATGAACACAAAGATATTGTCTGAACTGAACTGCTATCCTTTACTTTCATGAATTGATAGGAAAATTCCATTAATGACTAAAATATTTTTTTTTCTAATTAAAGGAAAATGTATTTCATATTTGATAATAAATAATATTAGAATGCAATAATTTACTTAATATTTATAAATTAAAGTTAAAAGATAGCGCCATCTAAACGAACTGTTCATAAAAATTGCATTGTGCTTGTAGGTATCGTCTAGTCAAACACAAAGAGACCAGTAGATGGTATTGCTCAAAATTTCTTATAAAGAAATTTATTTATTCTTTTTGTTTTTAACACATTATTGTATTTCAAATAAAAGATTTAAGAAAATTTCAATAAAGAAAAATAATATAATAGCTTGGAAAGCTGGTTATGTTATATTTTAATTAGAAAGAAAAAAATAGATTTATAAATATGAGCGGTGAATTCATTTAATATTCGCTTAGCTATACTTAAGTAAACTTGAAATTTTATCTAAATAGGTAATTATATTAAAAACTTTAGTCGTTATGTTCAAAACATTAAAACTCCTAAACATTAAAAAGCAAACATCATCTATTATCTCACAATGGCTTTTTTTACTAACGCTTTTAAAAAGCATTAGAGACACGGAAAGTTGTTAAAATAATTCAAATGTTCAAATTAGCTAATACTAAACCTGAATCAGTGCTCAAACAAATATAGAAACTTTCAAATGGCTAGTTTCACAAGACACTTGCTATAAGACCTAAGTAGAATGCGCGTCTCTCTGTGACCTCTTCAACCCCAGGACCTTTAGGTTGGTACGACATATATATTTTACTAGCAGAACCCGCGTCTTCGCTTGCGCTATAACTTCATAAAAATCTCTAAAAAGGTAGTTTCACACAAACTTTCACATCCCCTATTTGACCCCCTTATAAGATGATTTTCGAAAAATGCTAAAACACGCATTTATTTAATATTATTGAAGAGCATTAAATTTAATACCTTTTAAGTCATTCTGATCATAAATATTTTTTTGGATTGTATTATAACGTGTTTTCGAGTGGGAATTAGATGATCTTCCGCGGTAAAGTAGCCTATGTCACTCTTTAGCCTTCCAACTACATACTCGTACCATACAAAAAATCACGCCAATCCGTCACTCCGTTTCGATGTGAAAGAAGGACCAGCAAACCAACAAACAAACAAACAAACAAACAAACAAACAAACACACTTTCGCATTAATATTAGTATGGATACTCTCGCTCTTCTCGCTTTACTATTTTAATTTCACAAAATATTTTACAATATATTGGCGCGAAAATAAGAAAACGCAATGAACACCCATATAAAAATGACAGATTCCAAAATCAAATGTAATATTATGTTTATTTTAATTTTAACAGTATTTATGGCCAGACTATTCTGACCAGACTAACAAATTCGTATTTAAGACGTACAGACGACCTATATGTAGCTTAAACTAAGGTTAAAAGCGCTAGCTTATTTACTAACAAGCAACGTTTTTTTAAAAAACGATGTATATTCTTGTAACAAAATTTTTAAAAATCTTCTGCAGAACATAGCACTACTTTTTAATCCCAACAATTAATAACACTAAATTTGAGCCCTTTTCAAATGTGTGATGCGATGTTATTAGTATATAGACACTAAAAATCCCATAAAATACACTACTCATTTATGTTTCCTATTTTGCAATTCCAGTTTGTCCAGCTTACATGGAACCGGTGTCAGGTTGGGTGGATAGCCTGAACGGTCCAGTGGGGCTCATGCTTGGGGCCGGCAAAGGTGTTATACGCACTATGTTATGCGACGGGAATTTAATTGCACAAGTAATACCTGTTGATACTGCTATCAATGCGATTATAGCTATTGGCATGATTGAAGGATCGAAAACGGAAAAGTATGCACGTTATAAGTTATTTCTATATTATTTAAATACTTAGATAGAATGAGTGATTTAAAAATTATTATTACAGCGTTAGGGGTGGAATTCTTATGTAAAATGTATGACCATGAAGTATAATATGTTAATAAAAAAAACTATTGAAATCGATTTACAATTGACAAAGATATCGAGTAAAAAACAAAAATAAAATACAGCTGAACTCGGTACCCCTCGTCTTGATTGAATTCGGTCAAAATATAAACCATCTTGTTTGTAATAATATAAAACTGAGGCTTGATGAAGGTTGGGGAGAGCACAGGTTACTTGTATTTTTATATGAAAATAAATTTTGAGTTATCATTCAATTAGCTTTAAAATATTTCAGATCAGAAACAATTCCAATATATAATGTGAACGTCGGTCATCAAAAACCGACCAGTTGGGGAGATGTTTTGAAAGTGGCAAAAGATTATGGTCGGAAGTACCCCTTAGCGTGGCCATTGTGGTATCCCAACGGTGACATTACCACCAACGTAGTACTACACGAGTTTAGAAGGATTTTCTATCATTTAGTACCAGCGTACACTATTGATTTTATTTTATTTTTATTGGGACAAAAACGTTTGTAAGTCATTTTTTTAAGCTTTTTGATTAATTTTGATTTATTTTTGGTTGTTTGTTTTCGTTAGAAGTTAGAACCAATAAATCAACACATTTAAATTAATTGTATATTTTTAGTATGGTAAGAATTCAAGACCGAATTAGTCAAGGTTTGCAAGTGCTACAATATTTTACAATGAGGCCGTGGAACTTCCCTTGTCCGAAGTTCGATGGTATTCAGAATAAACTCAACGACGAGGAAAAAATTATTTTCAATACGGACTTGACAAAAGCTGACCGGGACGAGTACATGAAACGGAGCGTAGAAGGCGGCCGATTATACTGTCTTAAAGAAGATCCGAGTAAAGTCCCCATGAATAGAACTTATCATAACTTGTAAGTAAATAATATTTAGCTATTTAAAAAAAATAGATTGTCAGTTTGGATGTTGAGTTAACTCCGGAACTACTGATAAATTCTAAAAATTTTATTGTGTTAAAATGAGTTTATTTAAAAAGCATTCTATGTATATCATCTTTGTTGTTACCCGACTGCGCCAGAAGGGTTATGTTTTTCGAGTGTATGTATGTACATATGTTTATTTTTCTCAATATATTCTAGTATCTGCTTTGAAGAATTTAGAGTAATCCAAAAAGGGGGAGTTGCATTTCGAAACTGATAATAGTTGTATTAATTTAACCATTTTATTATAACTGGCAATCGTTGAACTACGCAAAAAAAAATTGTCATACTTAAAAATTATATAGTATACATGCTTTTATTGAAACTTAAATGAAATTCTTGATACACTAAAAAGCTCCAAAACTTATATGAACTAATAAATATTATATCTTTTCAGCTTATACGTCTTGGATTGGGCGATCAAGATATTCTTTTGGTTATTTATATTTTCTTTATTAGCAAAGTGGTTCAACCCAGTGAAAAACGTGTTCAGCTATGGAGAGCCCGTTGTGAAGCTTCTACCAATGCTTGGACCCGCGGTCTTTGATGCATGATGTAGAATTCATAAAAGCTATCGATATAATGCCTTAATATATCTATCATTTTATTTAAAGTGATAATTAAAAGTAACACTTAAATAAAAATTCGAATTCGGTCGAAATTTATCGTCAGATAAAATTTATCGTTCTAAATTATATTCTGACGAAATAGAAAAGCGAGACAGTTGAACTACTATACTTACAAAATTGTAATTTTTAATTAGTCGTTTATTTTATTGTGTACTGTGCGCGTACTGTGACGAATAATTTTACGCATGGGGGCAGTGTTGGAATAGTCAGTTCTAATTAATGTTAATGTAATACGGGTTTAATGGTGCTTCGATATATAAATTTCTTTTTCATTGTTTACATGAAAAAAAAGTCTTTAGAAGAAATAACCAAAAATTATTTACTTGTTTTTATACAATGTTTTAACTTTTATAAGTCACGTGAGACCTTTAGTTTTAAGCTTCTTGTTAAGGTAAAAAAAATCATGAAATGCTATAAATTGAGGGCTAATTAGTTACACATATACTAATAATAATATAATTACATACATATCTATACTGATTGCTACTTTATGATTGTAAAAAACACTGTTAAACAATCATATTACAAATTGTAGACTGTAAAATTTATATTATTCATATTGCCTATGTCGTTAACTTCAATTTAAGAGGAATTAATTAGACTTAAGAAAATGTACTGACCTACGTAAAAACTAGGTTTATAACATGTTTTGTTTTGTTACCAAATTTTGATAGAAATATATAAATAATACCGAAAAATGTTATATCATTTTAACCCAAACAAATTTAAAGCTATTGTGTATGATCTAAAATAATTAGTAAAAGATTTGTGTAAATGGGATTGTGAATTCAATTCTTAAAAATGAGTAAAACAGTGCAGGTTCGACCACCCAAGCTTACATAGGTAGTGGTAATAAGGCAATATTTGAAAATTCACGATAAATTGACAGAAATCTATCTTTTTATGTAGATAATCACTTCGCAAGAGAAAGTAGCATAAAACAAAATTTTAATATTTATAAATAATAAATATGTTGGCACCGTCTAGTTCCATGTTAAGCTACAAGGCTTGTGTTATTGATGCCAGACAGTTGATACACTACACATACATGTATAACTTTAAATACATACATACATATATTATAAACATAGACACCCATGACTGGACAAAACATTCATGCTCATCGCACAAATGGATGCCCAAGCGGGACTTGAACCCGTGAGTGCTGGCACAGCAGGTAGGGTCACTACAAACAGCGAACCGTGTCGTCAATATACTTATATGTAAATATTCCGGAGGTTAATATGTAATTTAAACCATTTTAAATGTATAAGAGACTTTTATTTATCATATATATATATATAATATAAATAAATGTGTGTAACAAATTTGCCTAAAACAAAAGACATGAGGACTGTCATATAAAAGTATATCTTAATGGCAGACACGATTTTAGGGTGAAATAACCAAATAAAAATATTGAATTTACATTATGAAATTAAAAAGTAATAAAAAAAAAGATTTTAATTATTGATTCTAAAAAAAAAACAACAAACCAAACTATAAATACCGCCAACACACAATAAATCTCAAAAACAATTCGCAATATCAATTTCATAATGTGAATGCAATTTACAATACATAATAATTGTATATAAAATATACATTCGCTTTATTTGACATATAAATATATGCTCTGCAATAACAAATACGCCAGCAATATTTGCATTACGGACAGTCCATACAAGAGATTATTTAGTAAGTAATAATAATCTCATTAAAAAAATTTACAAAAATCAATCGTAGATAATCTCAAGCATTAGTATGAAGAGGAAATTAATTACCTATAATCCTTGTCTTTCTTTCAAAGAACTTCCTCCTAATCTCCGAAATGACTGGACTGATTTTGACAAGACTTTCACTGGCAGATAGCTGATGTTATAAGGAGTAACTTAGGCTACTGTTTTTTAGAAAAATGAATTAGTATTCCTCTCAAAAAAATTGAAACATACCTAGGGACGCACCCGAGCGAAGCAAAGGTAAGTCGTTAGAAAATTATAAAGGCTCGTTTAATTTAAAATTAATCATTTACTCTGTTTCTCATTAAATAATCACTTTTTCCATAGAATTAAATACACACTAAACTGCAATTACTTAATATTTGATTTGATGTGCGAGTTTAAATATCTATATTACGCACAGACATAACATTTACTGTCTTACTAGAACATTTACTGAGTGGCATTGACAATATCAATAAACTCTGGCTTCAGACTTGCTCCGCCAACGAGGAAACCATCAATGTCTTTACAGGAAGCAAGCTCCTTAGCATTGGCTGCAGTTACCGAGCCGCCATATTGAATGCGAACAGTTTCAGCGATGTCAGGGGACGCATTGCTTGACAGCCAGTTACGCAGAGATGCGTGGACGTCTTGGGCCTGAAATATATTAATAATATAAAAGATGATTATTTATTGTTGATAATTGTTCTAAAATTTTGTGTCTTTATTTGTATTTTTTCATACATAATTTCTTTTGTATGTCGAGCTTGCTATGCTCAAGTTAAGCTTGTATCATTCAAAAATTGCTTAAAGGAATTCAGTTTGTTTAAAATCCATTACTCGTTTTTTATTCACTACTATGTTTGGTCAGATCAAATTCTTGGAATAATAATAAAACTTTGGCATTTATAATATTTTTGTTCGTCCCTAAGTTGATTTCCCATACAAACTTTCATCCCCATTTTCACCTCCTTATGGGATGATTTCCGGAATCCTATGTCCTATCCAGGCTCTCCAACTATTTTCTTAACAAATTTCATCTAAATTGGTTCTGTAGATTTTGAGTTTATTCGTTACAAACTTACAAAAATACAAATATTTCCTCTTTATGATATTAGTGCAGATAATGGGATTAGTATGGAGTATGGATTTCAATTAAGTAAATACAATTTGTGTATTATATTTATGATTTTACCAGATAAGAGGCTTTAAAGTATTAATTTATTATTTGAAACATTCTAACAATTTAAATAAATTTTGAAGTTCTTTGAACCTGAAACTAAACAATGATAATTTTATTAAAAACATTACATAATAACTATAAATTACTAAGAGATACTACATTATATTAACAATATAATTATCTACTAAAAATATTGGATTCATAATAACTTGTGAAAGGTTGTGATAGAGTAAGTCTCAAAGTATATTTATTTTTATCAGATAAATTACATTAAGTTTATTATATCTTCAGTTTATTCTAAAAATTATAGGAAAACTATACATTTTGATTTAAAAAATGTAAATAAATATTTTTTCATAATTATCTAAGATTTTTTATTCCAGAAAATGGGATACAATTTAGGAGTCAGCCCACTACACCACCTCATATCATCACCGTGCTATGAATGTACATATAAATTAGAAATTAGAAATAAGATTTAAACATAAATTATAAATTAGAAATGTATAGCACAAATATTACCTGCTGTGGTGTAGCTGTTTTGCCAGTACCAATAGCCCACACAGGCTCATATGCCAACACAACATTGGCCCAGTTGTTGCCAATAGCTGGCAATAGGGCTTTAGTCTGTCTAAACACAACTTCTTCAGTCTTGCCAGCCTCTCTCTCTTCTAAAGTTTCACCAATACAGGCAATTACCTTCAGGCCTGATTCAAGCGCATGAGCAACCTGGAATTTAAAATTCTCTTTATTTATATAATTCATTAAATAGACATTTATAACTAAGTTAAAAAAAAAACTATTTCAAAACATATTTTAACAACAAAATATAACATTACAGTAACAATTTTTTCACCTTTTCAGCAACTAATTCATCTTTTTCACCAAAAATGGTCCTCCTTTCAGAGTGACCAAGGATGACCCAGTCAGCCCCAATATCTTTGATCATTGCAGGGGAAATTTCACCTAAAATAAACATTTATATAAAAATTATTTGTATCTTACAAAAAAAATATGTAATTTTTTTTTCATTTTTTTAAAATACCTGTGAACGCTCCTTTGGGAGCCTTCCAGCAATTTTGAGCTGCAACTCCAATATTACCGGGAATAATGCTTTTGACATAAGCAAGGTAGATGGCTGGCACACCAACTACAACCTATTAAGTTTTAATACATTTAGATAACAAGTCAGGAAGACTACAAAGAGATAAAAAAATATTTAATATGTACTTTCTTAGATTTACGTGAATACACATATTAATTCGACATATTAATTCTATTTAGTTTCGAATGCTACAGCAATCATGGTAATTGGAGAGACTTGATTGTCGACTCAAATCATTATATTATAATCTTTACAGGCAGCATCTACCCACAAAATTAACGATAAAAGTTAACTAAAAACTTTCCAATTGTATTATGTAAAGTATTCAATTAATTTTGAGAAGACAATATTAGCACTTAACTGGTCGCACCTACCTCAGCATTAGGATCAAGAGGTCCTTTCTTTAAGTTGTTCACAATTTCATTTATCTGATTCTTGTCACCGTTCATCTTCCAGTTACCTCCAACAACAAATTTGCGACCCATGATTGAAATATTTATCCTGTAAAGATACGATAATAATGTATATTTTACTGTAATTTGGTAATTACTATCATGCCTACATTTAAAAAAAATAGATAACTTTAAAATATACTCACAATGCAGGTGAAGTTTCAATTAAATAATAACTTGCTGCAACCGAGCCGGCTCAATGACTCGCGAGGTGAATTAAAATCCAAAGAAAACTTGTTTTCCTTGAACAAAAAAAATGATAGGCTTAAATTACAGATAGATGATTGGTTTAAAAGTAAAAAAACGCATCTTAAAATACTATTGTAGCCAATCAATTGCGAGCACGAGCTACTATATTTTTTTTACTAATATAAAACAGACTGCAAACGAATGACCTGTATGACATTGAGAAATGGCAGATTTAAAACTAAATTATTTATATAACATTGATAATGAATACATAATATTTTTCTGAAATTATTTTTTTGTATCATAAATATATTATACTTTAAAATAGCCCACTGATATAATGTACGTTGTGAAGTAAAGATAGATAATCTAAATACATAGATGGAATCTGTACATAGCCTGTGGCTGTTATTTCTTTGACGTTTGGATGACATTTTTGTTTAACAATTTGGTTTTGAATTATTTAACGTACTTAATTCTGAAAGTGTTGTTAAACAAAGTTTATTAAATTTAAGATACATAAATTCATTTTATAGATATTACTGTAGTCTTACAAATTTTTGAAACCTCTATGAAGTTTTACATAACAACATAACTCATATAATATCTATAACATATTTTTTTATATTGAAGATGTCTACTGAAGATAGTTTATTAAACTTAAATATTATAGAGAATACTTCGGAGATAAATGCAAACAAAGAACATGGAAATCGAAAAAAATATCTTACCGATTATTTTTCAACAAGGTACCTATTAATCAAATATTTACAATATTTTTTTCATATCTATATAAATTTATACATACTTGAAAATGCTGTGAAAATTTGCAGAAATAACGAACCCGAGAAGGTGGTGGTGTCAAAAAGTGTCCAGGTGAGCTTGGGGGTTTGTATGTCAGATGAAAATTTCTGTTCAGATTTACCATCAGAAAAGTACTGGAATTTAGTTGCTGAAAAGAAACGGTAATTACTTTTAGTTTTGAAAATATAATAGGTGTATATTTTTAAGTAAAATTCTATACAAATCTGAATTTGTAACTTATATATTATCTGGATACAATCAATATATTTACTACTCGCATGATCAGTTACAAAGTAAATATGTAACTATGATGGTGCTCTACAACATAACATATTATTATGTTTGGATATTGTAAATACTTTTAAATTAAATATCACAATATATAATTACAGCAATATAACTATGTAAAAGAATAAAATTTTAAAAATTCAAAAAAATAATTTTACTTCCAGAATAGAATTACAAGATGCCTTAGATGAAAATGAGAGATTACATAAACTAAAAGAATCATTAGTTAAACAAAATACGCATTATAAGCAAATGCTTGAAGAAGCTAATAGTTTCATTGATGTATTCAAAGTGAGTACAGATTAAACAGTTAAATTTATTATGTTAATTTTATTACAATGAATATGTTCAGATAAATCAAAAATGTGCATGCAAATTGTTAATTTTTATTTTGTATGTGAAGAAGAAATCTATTTGTAGGTGGCTAAACTTTTGTTTAAATGTGGACATTTTTTTACAATTTAGAAGATATGCCAATTTATTTTTTTTAATTAGAGTTGTGGCAGTATAAAGAGTAACATATGATTATAATTGTGAAATCGTAACTCGTTTATATTAAATTATAAAAAATAAATAACAATTTGTCCAGATATGTTGATGATCTTTAACCTTCCTTTTTTTATAACTGGTTTTAGATAAAGTACAAGCTTTAAAAAAGACCAATATAATTAAATATTCTTTACAATATTAAATATTGTAGTAAATTTTTTTTATGAGTTTAAAAGTAATAATGAAGTTTGATTTGATTTTAGTATTAAAATAATATCTCAAATTACAGGAAGTTGTGCAGGACACAGCTGATGATACTGGCATTGATGTTGATGATGTCAATGATTCGAGTGATTAAATCAAGACTGATATTCTTTTCTTTGTATTTATGTATTGCTTTAAAGTTATATTTAATCTGTGTGTGAATAATACAATCCAAATTTATTATTTAATTTAATATCTATTGATTTAATATCCTCTTTCAGCTACATGTACCTAATTCTAATTTATATTTCCACATTTATTATTAAATGCATTATAAAGTATATTTTTCTTTTATTACTCAACTGGTTTTTTTGTGCATTGAGTCAACTAATAATTTTACAATAAGCAATTATTATTATTATTTCTGTAAAAAAAAGAGATTTCTGTAAAATAAATATTAATTGCAGGGTAAATAATAACTTTTTGTATGCAATAAGGTCCCATAAGTTCAGAGGGATTCATCAACATTAATTCATTTATCAAATAATACTTTATTAAATTATTAAATGAACATACGATTTTTTTACATAGGTAAAGTAGTAACATATCTGACTTTTTCTATACTAATTTTGTGAGATCAAGCATGACTGAAACTATTGCTTGTTACTCCTACATGCTGAAAGAGCTGGACTGATTTAGATGAAACTTACAAACTTCGGGATCCGCCGCCCTGAGGGAAGCCAGTTGCCAAGCTGGTCTAAGTTGCGCACCCGTTCAGATGAAACTTAAGATGCAAATCATTAGGTTTATAACAAATAAAAACAACTTAGTGACCAGTCTACAATTTATTTAATTAATTTATTTAATATAGGTATAACTGACAGTCCACTTTGCAGAGCATGCATGGGGGCAGATGAAACAGCTGCACATGTAATCTTGTATTGTCCAGGTGTAGCAGGGTACCGGGCTTAACATCTTGGCACTCCTAGGACACTAACGGAAATATTCTGTCGATTCATTTTTTCTTAAGTTTAAGAAACAACCGTCGACAATCACAAAAAAATGATATACCGAATTTGAGCCTCCATAGTTTTCTTTTCTATTATTATTATGAGCCTGTAGTGTCCCACTGCAGGGTAAAGGCCTCCCTACTCTTTCTCCACTGCTCCCTATGGTTCGCCATAATAAGCCATTCTCTTTGGAAGGAGTCCAACTCATCCCGCCATCTCCGTCTCGGCCTACCACGCTGTCGTCTACTGTGTTGGGGGATCCAAAATGTTGTTTGTTTGGCCCAAAGGTCATCTGACATCCAGATGATGTGACCAGCACAGTCCCATTTCAGCATGGTCGCTTTCCGAGTGAGATCCGTAATTTGAGTTCTGGAACGGATTATGGTATTCTTGATACGGTCAGTTATATTAATTCCCAGTATACTCCGTTCCATTGGTCTTTGGCAAACCTCGAGTGCATATATATTTGTTGACCTGTTAGAGACCAGGTTTTATTTTCTATTATAATTATTATAGTAGAAAAAAATTGCTTTAATCATGCCGAGACTATCTTCATTTTCCAGATCCATCCAGTCCATTATCACAGAGCTCACATTTTCATCTAAGACTTTTATGGACCTTATGTTACGACTATTAGAAGACATAGTTCTAAACTGGAAAAAATCAATACAACGTTATTGGGGTAAAACGCAAAAAACTTTAAGTCATAAATTGTAACGTTAAGTGTAAGGTGGAGTCCGTAGGACACCGCGCAGTATATATCTATACTAGAGCTGTAGCAAACCGTATGTATTCGTTACTGAGTAACGGGTACGCCATCTAGTACCGAGTACCGAAACGTTACTCACGAATGCATTTCGTTACTCGCATTTTCCGTACATATTTTCGTACTAATATTTTTATTGATTTTTTATTGAGCAAAATACAACTTTCATTTAATACTTAATACCATTGATGAGTAAATTAGAGAGTTTATTTATTTATTTCGAGTTGCATGATTTCCAGATCTTAGAAATTTTGTTTAGAAACAATTTTCAATTAGAAACAACCATTATATTTAGAACACATTTTTAGTTTTTTATCCAACAAATACTTATAATTTTTACTAAATGATTATGTCAAATGAAATCAAAATATACTTTATTCAAATAAACTTTTACAAGCTCTTTTGAATCGTCAATTTTACATTTTAAATTAAAATAAAATGTTAGTCCGTTAGGAACTACCGCCGGCTCGGAATAAAGTTTTCTGCTGAGAATAACCGGCGAGAATCTCAACAACGGCTCTTTTAAAATAATAATTGTGTACAATATTGTAATACAATAATTATCTATTTATATTACGTGAGACATGATCATGTGATTATGTGTAATACATACAGATTATGATTTGATAAATCATTCGCGCAATTGATTTTAAATAAAATATGCATTACGACGTCACACTAACGTGATAGATGCCGTTATGTAATTCATTTTTAAATTACCTATTTTTATATTTATTATTTAATTTCAAAAATTATTAATAAAAAAATATTGTTAGTAAAGTTTTTAAAAATTATATAGATTTATAAATAATCAAAATTTACGGGTTCTGGATATAATGTAACTCTCCAATTGAAATGGTTTGTTGATCGTGCAATTGCATTATTCCACAGAAAACAACACGACGTCAACGATATACGGTATAACGTATAATTTATACCGTACGCAATACATACGCAACACGACTCGATACGATGCTCTACGAGTATGTTATCGGGTATCAAAAGTAACGAGTAACGATTCAAAAGTAACGAGTACTGATGCTATAGTAACGAATGCATACGGGTACGCTATTTGTCGTCACTTTTACACCTTGAATCTATACTCTTTGACACCGCGTGTGTTGGTTACTCACCTTGTGAATAGCGCATGCGCATTGCGCACGTCCTCTACCCACCGTGTCGGTGTCAGCCGCACCAATAGAGGAAGGTACTAAAACGCACGACGCTGTGCTCGCGTTTTATCAAAAGATATAAATGAAGATTGTTTCAAGGGGAGTCCCTGGGACTCTGCCTACAAACTAAGAGTTAATATAATTTATAAGTAATATTGGTACTCTGGGATAATAATGTATCCTAGAGTGCTATTATTTATAAATCTATCCTGAAATCAGTACAGTAGGTACTTATAAAGTTTATCGATTACAAACAAACAAATCTTACATATTTAAAAATTTTAGTAGATATGAAAAGAACATCTTTATTTTAGATTATATGTATAAATGCCATATACATTCATATAGGTCTCAATAACGTACTTAATATTTAATTATGTAGTATTTCGGCAGAACATTTTAAATGTTATATAAATTGCATCTTACTGTTTATCTTATTATTTTTTTAAATAAAATTACTAAACATAATGAAAAGTGTAACGCGGGGTTTTTACAAACAACGGTGATCGCGGGGTATCGTGTCGGAACATGTACGATCCTGTAGGGCCGTGTTTCGTGCGATCGTATAGTTTAGGCGCCCGCGCCCCCCCGTCTCCCGCGAACGCGTGAGCGACGGCGTGGCTCGACCAGAGAGAGCCGCGAGCGCCGAACGCGTAAACATCTGTATCATAACGATCCTCCACGACTCTCATTTTCACGCAGTTGTAAGATTTTATGTAATTTTTTGTGTAATTTCCAATAACCATAAGTTTTCTTGTCAAACCTCAAGTGAAATAAATATATTTTAATAGACTGTTGTATACCTATTAAACTGGCGCCCATACTAGTGGCTCGAACTTTTAAAACTTATATACTAGTGCGTGAAGATGCCTATGACGAGGAGAGGGGAAACGCTTCGGCAGCAGCGAGGGGATGATGCCGCAGAGGGAGAGGAGAGCACCATCGAGCACGGCCACGTGGACGGAGCTGCGCGAGCCGGCTCGACACAGCAACCAGCACCCCAGCTCCCCCAACACTTCCTATCCGCGCTGATGGAAACGATCACGCGTGCGCAAGTGGAAGCAAATAGAAGCCTTATCAATTCTCTGATGACGTCCAGCAGTGAATTTAGGGCCTCCACCCCAGTCGTGGCCTCTCAAACAAATAATATGAACAGCGGGAGTGGTACTGCTGCCAGCGTCGCGAGTGTCGACGCAAATTTTACTAAGTGCACAGCGCGGTTCAACGGGTCGTCCCAGGACGCCGAGGTATTAGAAGCGTTCCTGGATGCCGTCGAGATATTGAAGGAGTGTGCGGCCGTGAGTGACGAGCTCGCACTCCGCGGATTGCCGATGTTGCTGGAGGGTGAAGCGGCAGTATGGTGGCGCGGCGTTAAGGCGTCGGTGACTACATGGGCGGACGCGGTCGCCCGCCTACGCGCGGCGTATGGCGTGGCGCAGCCCGCGCATCAGATCCTACGGCAGATCTTCGCGACGGAGCAGCAAGAAGTAGAACGCGCTGAGTCGTTTTTGTGTAAAGTGCGAGCGTTAATTGCAAAGTTACCGTATAAGCTCGATGAAATAGTGCAAGTTGATATTTGTTACGGGTTATTACACCGACGTATTGTTAAAAGAGTTTCCCGCGATAATGTTCGTAATTTAGATGACTTAATGTATAAAACGAGGATCGCGGAGGATATGTATAAAACTCTTAAGGTAAATAAGGATAACAATAATAGTAATAATTGTAAAAACGCGATTTCACGAACATCAGTCACTACTACCGGTCGCGATCTCACTCGATCGAGTTTTGATAGTACGAACGCGATCACTCCGCATAGTAATAAAAACAATAGGCCCCGATGTAGTTATTGTAAATTATTTGGGCATATTAGTGAAGAATGTCGCAATCGTGAGAAGGTTATTAACAATAATAATAATGATAAACGTTTGTATAGCGATAGCACGCGTATGGGTATACGTTGTTATGGTTGTGGCAAGGAAGGTGTCGTGAGGTCGAAATGTGATATTTGTGTGAAAACTTTAACGAATTCGGATGGTAAAACTTCGTTCAATAATTTGGATGTAGATTTTAATAATCACGATAATTGCGTTAATAATAATAATAGTAGTATAAGTAATACAAGTGCGTCATGTATTAAGTTAACTAACGTGAGTACGCGTGAATCGTATCCTATGGTTAATATATCCATTATGGGTCGTACCGGAGTGGCGATAGTGGATACGGGCGCTACGCATAGTATTGCGAGTCCTTTATTATATAAAATTTTAGTAGACTTGGGAGTACACTTTAGTAAAGTTAAACGATTTGTACACCTGGCTGACGGTACACAAGGGTGGAGAGACTTGTTGACGGCCGAGGTAGGTATAGATATCGAAGGCCATAGTGTAATGTGTCAATTACTAGTGTTGCCAGGTTGTGACACTAGAACACTTCTAGGTATAGATTTCTTGTCTCGGGCCGGAATGGTAATAAACGTTGCCCATCGCACTTGGACATTTATGGATAGTCCCGGACAGTGCTTTAATTTTATTTATTCGTACACACTTGACCCTGCAGGTACAGATTTATTGCACGCCGCATCTGATGAGCTGATGTTGCGCGCAGACGAAGGATCTAAGTTAACCCAGGAGCAACAGAATAGAGAATCTGTTAAGTTTTTAGGACACGTTATTGTACCAGGCGGAATCCAGGTGGATCCAGATAAGACGGCGGCTATTGATAATATGCCTGCCCCTCAGAACGTTAAACACTTAAAATGTTTCTTACAAACGGTGAGTTGGTATCGCCGCTTTATTAATAATTATGCTGAGATCGCGAGACCTCTTACAACACTCCTGAAGAAATCAAGTGCCTGGCGATGGGACGCCGAGCATCAGGAGGCGTTTGAGCGGATAAAGCGTCTCCTCGTATCCGCTCCCATTCTGCGTCAGGCGGATGAGTCGAAGCCATTCATTCTCTGCACTGACAGTAGCGCTTACTGCCTTGGGGCTGTTTTAATGCAGGGGGAGGGACACGATGAGAGACCGATCGAGTACGCAAGTCGTCTTCTCACTAGTGCAGAGAAGAATTATTCCACGACGGAGCGAGAGGCACTCGCCGTCGTGTGGGCGTTAGGTAAGTTCCGCGGTTACGTAGATACTGCGAAGGTAACGGTTAGGACGGACCACCAGCCTTTGCGATGGCTAATGAGTCAGAGGTCACCTAGTGGTCGGCTGGCTAGGTGGGCCCTAACATTGCAAGAGTTCGACCTCAACATCCAATACACACCGGGACGCTCGAACGTGGTAGCGGATACGCTTTCGCGACCAGTTTGTGCTGAGAACCAAGGTGAGTGCGAATTATGTATGACAGTCGTTGACTTACCAAAGAGGAGTAGTGGTGATATCCGCAGCAATCAACTGTTAGATCCAGAGATTCGCAAAATCATTGAGGACATGGAGTCTGACGAACCTTCTAGGGGGAGGCCATGGTCCGATCGTGGGTACACTATTTCCGATGGTATACTTTATAGATATAGCTTAGAGTCAGACGATGGAGAAGAATGCTGTATTGTTGTGCCAGAACACGAACGCAGGCAAGTGATGACTGAACTCCACGACGCGCCTACGGCAGGACATTTCGGCGTGGAGCGCACTTTAGGCCGTGTTCGCACTAGATATTATTGGACAGGTATGCGCACGTTCAGTACTAACTATATAAAGGGGGCTGCTGACCAGAGACTGCGATCGCCGCCAGAGTATAAGGTAGGCGATATGGTGCTACTTAAAACGCAGGGGCCGAACGATGCAGGACGTGGACAGACGGCGAAGTTAATCCCACGCCAGGACGGCCCATACAAGATAGGTAAGGTAGTTAGTCCTACTACGTACGGGTTAGAGAACGTACAGACCGGAAGAGATATAGGGAAATATCACGTTTCGCACCTCACGCCATTTACCGGCCAGATAGAGCCTCCCGTTAGGGAAAAACGTAAACGTGGTAGGCCGCGTAGATACCTAGACTAGCCCAACTGTGAGGACACTTAGTTAGGCTAGAGGGGGAGAGTGTAACGCGGGGTTTTTACAAACAACGGTGATCGCGGGGTATCGTGTCGGAACATGTACGATCCTGTAGGGCCGTGTTTCGTGCGATCGTATAGTTTAGGCGCCCGCGCCCCCCCGTCTCCCGCGAACGCGTGAGCGACGGCGTGGCTCGACCAGAGAGAGCCGCGAGCGCCGAACGCGTAAACATCTGTATCATAACGATCCTCCACGACTCTCATTTTCACGCAGTTGTAAGATTTTATGTAATTTTTTGTGTAATTTCCAATAACCATAAGTTTTCTTGTCAAACCTCAAGTGAAATAAATATATTTTAATAGACTGTTGTATACCTATTAAAAAAGTCCATTGTTGACATTGACAGACCGGGTGTCGATGCGACTGCTGCTGACACATCATTTCTTAATTCGTTACAAAATTTTTGCGGCCTGAGTAAAATCCGGTTCAAATAAATAGTCTTCCAATTATTGTACCTATGTTACTGCTAAGCTGCTAATATATAAATGTATCTATTCATGTAGGGTATATGATATTAAAACATAATAAAGGTATTAAACATAAAAATAACTTAAGAAAAACATGTGGCGCCAACAGTTTTGTAAGGTATTTAATAATTATTAATTATTTTTAATCTTATTTTAATTTATCACAAATTCCTTAACATATATCTTTTATTATTACCATCTTTTGTAAACTAAAAATTTCGAAACACTGTAAAAACCCCTCACCGGCACAATAAATCTTTACATAATATTTAAAGTCGTTGTTCCAGGTATTAATATTATTTTTCTTGTGTTTACATTTGTCAACACAAGTAAAAAAACAGAAAACATCTGTTATAACAGATATCGATGATATAAAGGAGTTTAAAAAGTTACTAAGAACAAAAACAAATGTATTGATCTTGTATATAAATAACCATAAATCGTCTCAGTCTGTGCTTGACGTATTCAAAGAAGCTGCTGATAACATGAAAGGTCAAGCTACACTGGTAGTTATTGATTGTAATGGGAGGTTTGTATATAAATGACTTACATACTAAATTGATGTATTTATGAAAATAAATAAAATTGGGTTTTATAATTTGCTACTGCAGTATAATTCATATGTTGTCTATTTTATTATTTATAGTGAAGGAAAAAAGCTATGTAAAAAGTTAAAAGTGACATTTGATAAGCCTTACAACATAAAACATTATAAGGATGGTGATTACCACAAAGACTATGACAGAGGGACAACTGTCAGTGCAATGGTTAACTTCCTACGAGATCCTACTGGTTCCATGGGAGGAAGATCCAGAAGCTGCAGACATAGTTCATCTTGCTGATGCAGATGTAAGAAATTATTCTTATTTTTTAAATAAAAATACATTTATATTAAATACTTGCAGGCAGTAAAAACAATATTAGTTATAACACAATACTAGTTGTATGTGTTTTGTAGACATAATTCCTTGAAATCCTACTAATATCATAAACATGAAAGTTTGTGAGGATGGGTGGATGTTTGTTACTCTATCACACCAGAATGGCTGAATGGGTCTAAATGAAATTTTGCATAGAGATAGATTATAGTCTAGAATAGTGCATAGGTTACTTTTTAGTCAAATAAATGTATGATTCCCGTGGGATAGATTTGTTATTGTCTAGATATGAACCCACAGGAAAAACATGGTGAATCGCTAGTACTTATTAGTCTTATTTGGTATAAAAATAATGTTATTTTCTTTTAAATAATTTTAATTTATCTATTTATAAACTATCTCCAAAGCTAATTTTTAATGTTTAATTGTAATTGTCATGAACTAAATATACACCACAAATACACATTATAATATATGTATGAATTAATTATTGGAAAAAGAAATCTGCTAATTATTATATTATAGTTAAATATACAACATACTCTAACAGCTAGTTAATAAAGCAATTTGTAACATTGCATGGCTTTTTAAGATTAGAAAGTCACTAACTTTATCATAAAATTTCAATGGATTTTAAGTTCAAAGCAACCATGGGCATAACTAAACCATTATACATCATGTTTTTATGCATATTATAAAATGAAACAAACATATTAATAATTTCATATAACTAAAAGTGTAAAAGTAATATACTACTACTGTATGTCTGTCCTTTTCACACTTAAGCTGCTGAATAGATTGCAATGAAAATATGCAAGCACATGTATTGCACTATAAAGATGGACCCATACTTGACCGACGTGGTGCACTAAATTCTGTTATACCTGCAGTCTACATTTTGAGAAAGACCATAATTAATATTTCTTAGTTGCTTTAAATGGAAAAATGCATTATTTTTAAGATCAAAGAAAGAAGTTTCAATACATCTATACAAAGATCCGATTGAAATACTTGATTCAAAAAATAAAAATAATAATACTCAGAATACTTCTAGGTGGCTTTATACTTTCAATTATTAATTAACAATTTCAGGTAACATCGTTTGTTCACCTTGTATCACAATGCCGCTTACCTTGCAAGTTTACTAAGGCTATAAACATAAAGTTTGTTTTTCTTTGAAACCTTACTATTAAAAATTTTGCTAAATTAGTTTTGCAAAAACTAGTTATCACATATTCACTATTGATAATGTAATTTCATTGTTATACAGGCTTTATCGAAGTTTTTGAAGAAAGGAATAGCAACATATAAGAAGTCCATGATAATGTTCTATGCTCCTTGGTGTGGGTATTGTAAATCACTCAAACCAGACTATGTAGCTGCTGCAGCCGATTTAAAGGTAATGTATATTATTATTTAATTTTATACTGCCTCGGTGGTGTAGTGGCTAGCATGTAAGGCTGCACACTCGGAGGTCGTGGGTTCGAGTCCCGGGTCGGTCCAAGTTTAGTTATCGAGTCTTTCTGTATAGTAAGTCTCAGTAACAGCCCGGAGTTGGGAAGTTGGCGGTGTTTCACCCCCGAGCCTCGGAGAGCACGTAAAGCCGTCGGTCCTGCGCCCTAACTCTCACTGGTCGTGTCGAGCAGTCGTCCCACCGGAGTATGAGAGAGACCAGGAACAGAGAGTGCACGTTGTGTCTACGTGTACACTTGTGCACTATAATATCTCCTGCTCAGTTGGCTAGTCTCAATGAGATTGGCCGCCGTGGCCGGAATCGGCTAGGAGAGCATCATTTAATTTTATACAAAGTGTATTTAGATACAACTAAAAACTAAGTCGATGATCATAGACATACAATCTCTATATAGAAACTTAACTGTTACCAGTTGTGTCGAAGTATCGTCCCACCAGAGTATGAGAGTGACAGTAATAAAGAGTGCACTTCTTTGTGCCCACATTTGTGGACTCTAACATCTCCTGCGCTGGCTAGTCTTATGGTGCGTTCCCAGACAGACAGACAATTTTTTTTTCTAAAAACTATAGATTCGGTCACTTCATCTATAATAATGACTATTTCAATTAGATTTTCCAAAAAATATTTAATGTACAGATTCAACAGACTAACACAACGCTACACAATGATGTCAAAATATTATCAATTCCTGTTTCTTTGGTCAGTTTAAAATATATGTTTTTATTTCATAGGGTGAAGCATTCTTGGCTGCAATAGATGTATCAAAACCAGGAAACTCTAAAATCAGACAAGTTTACAACATTACTGGATTCCCCACATTATTGTTCTTTGAGTAAGTTTTTATTGCATAATATAATATTTTCTTAGGATTACGTGAATATTTTGACTTTTTAAAATAAACCTGTTGTTGTGGAGATGTTTAATCTATACAGATAAATAAAATTAAAGTGTCTGTTTGTAAGGTCAAAATAACAGCCTTTTACTAAATGCATATGAAATTATATACGGTACTAATAGGAAAAAACACATTTTTTTTAATTTTTGTCTGTCTGTTTGTTTGTTCCGCATAATATGTGAAACGGCTGGAATGATTTGGATGGGACTTTCACTGGAAGATAGCTGATGTTATAGGGAGTAAAATAGGCTACTTTTATTTTAGAAAAAGAATTAGGGTTCTGCTCAAAAAAATTAAAGGGTACGTAGGGACGAACTCGAGCGAAGCGAGGGTGAGTCGCTGTTATTTTATATATAAAACAAAGTCTCGGGTTTGTTACAACACTTATAACTCGAGAACTGGACTGGACTGGACTGCTAGACCGATGTTTATGATTTTTAATTGTTGGATTTGTTTCCGCCCCGAATAGCAGAATAACCATTAAAACATTAGAAAAAATCATGAAAAAAAATAAAAAAATGGCTAACCCTGGCTAATAACTATTTATATCTATATATCACCTACCTAGCCGACGACGAACCCGAGCGAAGCGAGGGTGAGTCGCTAGTATTATATAAATGAGAATATGTATTAGGAGATTTATAATAGCGACTGTAATTTTTTTAATTATAACTATTCTAAAGCAATGCGAGATACTTTTTATTGCTTATTTTATCTATAAACATACTATGTTATATGCGATTGTTGAAATCATATCATTTTTGCGAAATTTATGTAACTGATATTGCGAAAGTTATAATATTTTGTTGGCGTTGTTTCTGCTTGTGCAAGGCTAAATATTTCAAAACATATTCATATGAGAAAGGTTTTTAAAAGATGCTTTAATAAAATCTATTATAGATAAATTAAATACATTAAAATTATTATCATGAGGTAGTTAAGGAAGCTATATAATTGTTTTTGAGCTGGAGCCACATACATAAAATTTAACAATTCATTTGCAATTTTGCTTCAATAGGTACATACATTTAAAAAATAATTGTAATATTATGTTATGTTATATGTTATAATGCTCAATTTATTCACTTTAAATTAATCATTTAAATATTTAACAGGAAAGGACAGTTCCGTTTCCCATACAATGGAGATAACAAGCACCAAGCGATTGTCGACTTCATGAGAGACCCAACATCTCAGCAGAAAAAGAAAGAAGTGGTTGACGAAAGCTGGTCTCAAGACTCTGACGTTGTACACTTAACTGGTAAAATCATATTTATTATATCTCAAATTATGCTTTGCGATAATATTATAAATGTGAAAGTTGTGAGGATGGATGCATGTTTGTTACTCTTTCACGTCTTTGGATGAAGTTTGGCACAGAGATAGATTATAGTCTAGAATAGCACATAGGTTACTTTTTATCCCGGAAAAATGTACGGTTCCCGTGGGATCTATTTTTTGTTTAGGGACGAACCTGCTTGTCATTCACTAGTCAATCATAGCCAGATTGCGTAAAATTAACGTGAACGTTAAAAAAATCTATATTTAAATTTTATAAAATACGGTTTTGCATATAATTTCTGCATGCAAAGATGTCCACCAAATAGTGTGTTAGTATTATACTAACTTTTATCCATGTTACATACATCCAGTTTAAGTGACACTAAACCTTTGTTTAGAAAACATCTGTGCATAAAAAATGTCGTCTTCGAAAGGCAAATTCGTTTTTAGTGATATGCTTCTACTGATATTTATTTTAAATGAAATAATCGTTAAGTGTTAGTAAAATTTCAGTATACATAATATGCTACTCTTCATCCTCAAAAAAAAATTACACATATCTGACTAAAACAATATATAAAAACTTTTTAATTTTATACTTTGCTTAATCATATACTGCATACGTACATATGTTCTTTTTTTAAGTTGTCATTTAAACTTCTTTTACGGGTGTTGTGATTTGGTGATTTGTGATGTTATTTACTAATTTTTGGAGATTGTTGAGAGGTACATTTAATTTATACAATACAATATAAACAAAATTAAGTTAAGTAAACGCTTTATATATAAGAGTCCTTAGAGCATAAAATGTAACTACATACGATTTAGTTGTCATGGTTAATTGGATGTATAACGATTAAAAGGTTTTTCATTATAGTAATGCTAAATAATGTAATTATAGAAAAATCAATTTTAATATGAATTTAAGGTAATGAAGGAAATCGTATCCACTGCTCTAAGACTATGAGAGAAAACACAAATGAAAAAAACTTGCATTAAAATCATTAGGGTTTATATGTTAGGGCTAATAAATATACGGAAATATGTCATCATTATTATTATACTAGCACAACCCGCGTTCAATCTATAGATAACTCTTTTGCTTTATGTTATATAGCGACTCACTTTCGCTTCCCTCGGGTTCGTCCCTATGTGTTTATATAATATTAAATTATTTGGATATTGTTCATACAAAAATACTAAAATCGCGATAAAAAGGTAGGGGTAGTAAAAAATACTTTACGACCTATTCTCATACCTACCAAATATACAAAAAAAATCATTAAAATCGGTCGAGCCGTTTCAGAGGAGTGCGACCACAAACACCGTGACACGAGATTTTTATATATTACATAAACACTTATAATTTCCGAGTATTGAATGAAAAGACTACGGCCTGATTGGCCTCGTAAGGGAGGCCCGCGGTGGGACGTTACAAAAGGGCTGAATCTATACTATTTAATTTATTTATGTATTTAATCCATTATATACTAACATTATAAAGAGGTAAAGTTTGTGAGATTGTGAGTTTGTGACGTTGTTATTTAGTGGGGTAATTTCTGGATCTACTGAACCGATATAGATGAAATTTAGTAAGAAGATAGTTTGAGACCCTGGAAAGGAAATAGGATACTTTTTATTTCGGAAATCATTCTTTAAGGCGGTGAAAATGGGGATGAAAGTTTGTATGGAGAATTAAGCTAGGGACGTACGCGAGCGAAGCTTGGCTGAGTCGCTAGTACAATTATATATTTGTAACAGAAAATAATTCCTGTTCTATTTCACAGGTGAAACGTTCGACAGTGTGCTGTCTAAGGCTGAGAACGCACTAGTTGTGTTCTACGCACCTTGGTGCGGTCACTGCAAGCGTATTAAGCCCGAGTTTGAAAAAGCTGCTACAAGGATTAAAGATGAGAAGGTAAAGGCAAATATTTAATATAATATACATACAGACAATTTTGAAGTAAAACTTCTTTAGGCGTGACTGAGGTGTAAGTGAATCCAAAAAATGCATTTCGCGGAAGTGAGAGTCAAATTTATTATATTTTTTTAATATATTATATTTGTTTTTATAATAATATTTATTTATAAAAATCTATATAGGTACTTATTAGTAATAATTTTGTTAAAATTATTATATTTTGATTTGTTCTAATTTGGTTGCGCTATCTGCCACAGCGTCGGAAGAAGTTTTACTTCCACCGCGCGTAAAGGATACACACACTTTTTTTTGTTTATACATATACCATCGTAATAAAGGAAATATATTGAATTTGCGAAAATACTTAATAATATATAGTACTAGCATTCTTAAATTCTTAGGTTTTACATATTAGTACACTCTTACATTGCAGTTTTTGTATTTTTTTCTCAGAAATGAGATATTTTTTCCGCGGAAAAAAGTATTCTATATGTTGACCCGGATAACCAGCTATCACCATACCAAATATCATCAAAATCCCTCCAGTGGGTTTTCTGTGATGCGGTAACAGACAGACAGACAAAAAATCTAAAAACTATAGATTCGGCCTCTTTATCGGTAATAATGTTTATTTCAATAAGATTTTCCAAAAAATATTTAATTTACAGATCCGGCTTAGTTACAATTTTATTATATGACATTTAATAAATAATTGTATAGAACAGTATAGATATATAAAACAAATGTAGGTACACTTAGTGATTACGTCGCATTCCCACGCTGAATAACAATGCCGATTCTTTGGGCGAAAAACGAGCCAGCTCTATTGTCACCGGTAGAGGCGATAAGACGAAGTGTTATGTTTTTTTAAATTGATTTTTTTTAATTAGATTTCTTAATGGTAGATTTATCGACAATAGTATACTACTATACGATTTTTAATTACTTTTTCGTCTGGGAATTCTTTGAATTATCACTACGTAGTATAAAACAAAGTCGCTTCTCGCTGTCTGTCTGTCTCTATGTATGCTTATATCTTTAAAACTACGCAACGGATTTTGATGCGGTTTTTTATTAGATAGAGTGATTCAAGAGGAAGGTTTATATGTATACTCGTAATACATGCATATACATAAAAGCCTAGAAATTCAAAGATTTGTATTTCATACTAACCGTAAAAACTACCCAAGGACGAATCCGAGCTAAGCGAGAGTGAGTCGCTAGTTATTTATAAACCAAAGACTTAGTCGCTTATTACACTTAATAGTGACTTTATCGGTCGAAGTAAGTGCAGCTATTGCCTAGAATCTCCATATCGCCTATAGAAATTGTATTCAGCCTTTTTAACGACCCACTACTGGACACGGGCCTCCCTTCAGTACGAGGGGGATCAGGCCATAGTCCACCACGATGGCCGAGCGCGAGCGGACTGAGCATGTGTTTCGAAATCTTGCTAGGTTCTCTAGACATGCAGGTTTCCTCACGATGTTTTCCTTCGCCGTTAAGACAAGTGGTAATCGGGTTGAAAATGACTCGCACATAGGTATATCAGAGGTGCGAAACCCGGTGTATGAATCCGGTTCACTCGGTTTCCCAAGCGAGCGCATTATCACTGGGCTGCCAATGCCTACAGAAATATTTAGTAATACTAGCAGCTCAGCCTCGCTTCGCTCGTGTTCGTCGCTAGGTACGTTTTAATCCCTCCACGACCGCGGACACGCCGGCGTTACAGTTAACAATGGATTTCTTAGAAATTTACTTGAGAGGTGTTGAATAGTAATTAGCCAGCGTTAGCCATATAATTTTTTTTTTGGTTAATTTTTCTGTTGCTTTAATACTTATTATCCTATTCCAGACTAAGAGAAATCCAAAAAAATCAAAAATCATAAAAAATTGCCCTGCTGTCCTTGAGTTATAAATGGTGTAACTAACACGACATTGTTTTATATTTTATATTTACTTTATTTTATATTTTTTTCTTTATTCAAACTTTCCTTAAGGGATATACGAAAAATAATATTAGCTGAATTGGTCGAGCTGTTCTCGAGTTTTGCGCTTAGCAACATTCATTTTTATTTATATAGATTTTCATTTTAGATCAACGGTCTATTGGCGGCTGTGGATGCAACACAACACTCTGATTTGGCCTCTCGGTTTGGAGTGAAAGGATATCCTACACTGAAGTACTTTAGCAAGGGTGAATACAAGTACGATGCGGGACACGCACGTCAGGAAGAGCAGATTATTGAGTTTATTAAGGTTAGTGTGTTTTTGTATCAATATTCATCTATACATATAATAAAATGTAACGGATCGCTGTCTGTACATGGAAGATATATGAAAAAATTTTATTGAACCCTTTATCCAACGTAAATAGCACCCAAAACAATGATTGTTAAAATTTTTATCTGTTTATCTGCTTGCGTATTGCTTATACTTCGACAAACAAGTATTTATTGAAACGCCTTAGTTAAAAAGTCAATTTTTATGGCGACGCCAATTTTCTTAAAGAATTTCAATATAAACACTTAAATAAATAAATATGTTGGGACATTAACACACAACACCATCTAGTTCCATGGTAAGCTACGAGGCTTGAGTTATAGATACCAGATACACTACACATAATTATATAACTTTAAATACATACATATTATAAATATAGACACCCATGACTAGGGTACAAACATTCGTTTTCGTGCTTATCACACAAATGAATGCCCCCAGCGGGACTCGAAACCGCGACCGCTGCCACAACAACTAGGGTCACTATAAACTGAGGCAAACGTGTTGTCACTTAGAAAACGATTTCTTTTTGTAACTGTTTGTAAAAATTGTAGCCGGCTCTAACAAAGTTTCTTTACAGCGATGAATTTAACGTAAACTCATTTATAGCAGGAATATTTGAATTAAAATTTTCTAATTTCCACAATGGCTTATTGTTATTTAATCCCGATTTTCATAGTGAGGATGGCCGAGCGGTCCAAGGCGCTGCGTTCAGGTCGCAGTCCACTTCGGTGGGCGCGGGTTCGAATCCCGCTCCTGGCAATGTTTTTATGTCATAAACACATAAATTATTCTCTATCGACGTTTGAGGGTAGTTATAAAAAATGTTGTAAGGATAACTTCTTTAAATTACTTGAAAGTTGCGTTTTAAAGCGATCGCCATAACTAGTGATGCTTAGGAGCTGTTATACGTTATGACCAGTTTCCGTCCAGGACACCTAGATGGAGCTAAAATTTAAAAATACATATATTCTGCATCCAATGCATATAACGGACAAAGTATCGACGGCTATTGGGACAAATGTTCGTTCCAACCTTTGTAATACACTCGGGTTGTTGATTTGTCAAGTGCTGTTTGAGCTAACGTTGGTTTCAATATTGGTTTAATTAAAGTTGGTATTCGAATAAAATACTTTAGAAGACTTTTGTTGTCTTTATAAATGAAGTTGAGGCACCATAATTGTATTTTGTTATTGCATACCGTACAATATAGGAAATTTAATAGGGAATTTGGGGGTCATATGAGTCAGGAGAAATAAGATGTATAAGTGCATTAATGGTTTTTTTGCCTATTAACGTATATCGTCTAATTTTGGGTACAATATTTATTGTAAAATATATTACAGGCCTAAATTTATAGTAACAATTGTCAAAAACACTCGTAAATGTCTGCTTTAACAGATAATAACATTTTCAGTCACCTCAAGAGCCTCCTCCGCCACCGCCACCAGAAACTCCATGGTCTGAAGAAGAATCACCTGTTCGACATCTTGACCTATCAACGTTTAGAAATACACTGCGGAAAATAAAACATGCTATAATCATGTTCTATGCACCATGTAAGTAATACTTGGCATTCTTACTTCATACTTTTCATTTTTATACTTATAAAGAATTCCGATTCAATTGTTATTGTTTATTATGTAGTTTGCTTCCCAATGTAAACTTTCATTCCTATTTTCACCCCCTTAAGGGATGATTTCCGGGATAAAAAGTATCCTATGTCCTTTCTAGGGTCTTAAACTATCTTCTTACCAAATTTCATCTAAATCGGTTCAACAGATCCAGAGATGACCCCCTACAACCTAACAAACTCATAAACTTTACCTCTTTATAATATCAATATAGACAAGCAATTTAGCCTTACTTCGCTTAGGGTTCGACCCTAGACAAAACCAAAATCCCACGGGATTCGAACATTTTTCCGGGATAAAAGCCTATGTATTCTAAAAATCATTGTATTGCGTTCTATTGCGTAATATAGGTCCGCAATGATAGTTTTTCTCAAATATCTTCCATGTACAGACAGCGATCAATTACATTTTAATTATATATATATTATTATTATTATTATTAAAGGGTGTGGCCACTGCAAAAGCACTAAGCCCGAGTTTGTGAGAGCTGCAGAGAAGTTTGCAGACGAACTAATGGTAGCCTTCGGTGCGGTCGATTGTACTAAACAACAGGAACTGTGTGCGAACTATGATGTTAAGGGCTACCCGACCATCAAATATTTTAGCTATTTCGATAAAACAGTGCAAGATTATAGCGGAGGAAGAAAGGTGAGATTATTTTTATTTTTTTTTATTTTTAAGATTTTGTTTAACAATATCATGGGTTTCGGTTACTATGTGAATAACCCTCATTCTTTTTCTGAGATTATGGTAGCTTTAGTTACTCTTTATAACATCAGCTATGTTCCAGTTGAACACATGTCAAAATCGGTCCAGCCGTTTCGGCGATTAGCCAGAACAAACAGACAGAAAGACAAAAATATAAAAAGTGTTTTTATGTAATAAGTACCATATATAATTTCATATGCATTTAGTTAAAGTATTCTATGTTTTCCCCAGGGTCTCAAACTATCTTATTATCAAATTTCATCTAAATCGATTCAGTAGATCCAGAGACTACCCCCTACAACGTCACAAACTCACAAACTTTACCTCTTTATATTATTAGAATAAAATAAACGTGTGTGTGTACATATGTACGCACGGAAGAAGTTATACTTCTTTGGCGTAACAGAACAAAAATAGCTAAAGATTTCATCCTGTATGTCACAACACTCTGTTTGTAAAAGGAATGTAGCTAACTTCGTCATGTCGCTCTTTGGCTGTCGGTGTGCGCACGCATCGTAAAAATTTTACTCGCATAATTTTTTTCAAACGTGCCAAAAGAAGTATAAATCCAAAAAACCAATTGTACATTTTTTGTCTGTCTGTTTGTTCCGGCGAATCTCTGAAATGGCTGGACCGATTTTGACGTCACTGTCTGTCACTGGCAAATAGCTGATGTTGTTAGACATAATATTTCTTTCAGGAAGCGGATTTCGTGTCATTCATACACAGTCAAATGGGTGAACTTCAAACACCGCAGAAGATTAAAAGCAACCAGGACGCTGGCTTCGGTGTCAACGTTCAATTGGCAGATGATAATAACTTCCAAGATATAATATCTTCGTCCGAACCAACATTTGTCATGTTTTATGCCACTTGTAAGTGTTTAATTAATTTGTTTTTGTAGTTTATTTGAGGTTAGTACTAGATATAACACGCGCAGTTAAAGAATGGGTATATAAATAAATAAATATGTGCGGACATTAACACACAGCACCATCTAGTGCCTTGGTAAGCTACGAGGCTTGTGTTATGGATACCAGACAGTTGATACACTACACATATATAACTTTAAATACATAATATAAATATAAACACCCATGACTGGAGTACAAACTTCGTACTCATCACACAAATGAATGCCCAGCGGGACTCTAACCCGCGACCGCTGGCATACCAAGTAGGGTCACTACAAACTCAGCCAAATGTGTCGTCGCGGCACTATAAATGGCGCTCTTCTATTCACTTCTCCTTCATAAACTATTGCAGTGTTTGTTTATACCGTGGTACTGACCGCAAAAAAATACTTTATTATTTTATTTGTTTATTTAAAAAAATATTTGTCAAATAGTATTTTTGTGTGTTTTGTACTTAGTCAGTTACTAGAGATAGCTTTAAATGCATCGATCAAAAAAGTACTAGATACACAATCAGCGATAAAAAATGTCCTCACCTAATGAGCGCATATTTGAACATTTAAGCGCGCTTTTATTTTTTTTTGTGAAAACAACTTTAAGCATTTAAGGTCCAATTTTCATTGTTGTATATTTATTTCAATTAGAATAATTACCTGAACACAATCGGTGACAGTTTTAAGAGAACTTTTGCATGGGATTGTGTACCTAGTACTTTTTGATCGATGTTTTAATAGGAACAAATTGATAAATCAAGCTTTAAACATTTTGTCTGTATCTTTACTAATATTTTTATGAATACTATACTATATGAATATAATACATTTGGCGATTACATAAAAAATTTTAATCACTACATAGTATAAAACAAAGTCGCTTCCCGCTGGCTGTCTGTCTCTATGTATGCTTAGATCTTTACAACTACGCAACGAATTTTGATGCGGTTTTTTAATAGATAGAGTGATTCAAGAGGAATGACTTAACAAATTAGTATATAATTTGTTAAGTTTTTGTATACATTGGCTAAAATATAACGTTATTTGTTGGAGGTGTCGGAAAAAATAAGACGTATGGGAGCTTTCAACGAAAACGCTGCCTAAACACTTTAAGATATAACAAAATAATGTATGGTGGAATTGTATATCTTATATAGGTCTACAGAAAAGTTCGCGATGGCGTATGTCTATTTCTTAAGGATAACATACTATATCCATTTTATTTTAATATTATCATACAATAATATATTTTCATTTAAGGGTGCAGCCATTGTTCAACTGTGAAACCGGCGTTCAGTCGTCTAGCAACGGCCTTAAAGAAGGACAATATTCCAGTGAAAGCTATAGCTATAGAAGCAGCGGATAATTCCAAAGTAGCAGATTTCGCCTCAATACAGACACTGCCAACATTCAAAATATACGCTTCAGGTAAACTATTAGCTGATTATGAAGGCGATAGGTCTATGGAAGACATGTTTAAATTTTGCAAATCATACGCCAAAACAAAGGATGAGTTGTGATATCAATTACCGTTTGATCGAAAATGTATTGAAATAAAAATGTATCAGTTAAATGTTATTAATTGATTGTATATTATTATATGTTATTGATGAAGAATTTTTGTAATGGATGCTAATGGTATTATGGGAACTTATAACAAAAAATTTCAGGTGTTTTGAATCTTAATTTTATGAAGCTTTTTGTTTGCAAAAATTAAATGTAAGATTATATGTATATTTTCTTTTCTAAGTAAATTTACATAGTGATATGAGTTTAACACAATAATATTTCTCTATTTTATATTTAAAAACTTAAAAGTATGCAAGCTTTTTATATATATTTTAATTATTAGGCGATTAAATGAAGTTTAATCAAAAGAATGAAAATTAGTGAAAACCGCACCCAAATCGGTGAATCCGTTTTTGAGATTTAATAAAGACTCGAAATAATAGTTTTTCACATGAATCCATCTATACAGATAAATAAAATTGAAGTTTCTGTTTGTAATGTCAAAATAACAGCTTTTTACTAAATGCATATAGAGTTATATACGGTATTTATAAGAAAAACACAATTTTTATTTTTTTTGTCTCTCTGTTTGTTTGTTTGTTCCGGATAATCTGTGAAACGGCTGGACTGATTTTGATGGGACTTTCACTGGAAGATAGTTGATGTTATAGGGAGTAACATAGGCTACTTTTATTTTAGAAAAAGAATTAGGGTTTCGCTAAAAAAATTAAAACGAATCTATGGAAGCACCCGTGCGTAGCCAGGGCAAGTCGCTAGTATAAAGTATAAAAATTGAATTAACTGTTTACTTCGATTGATGTGATTTAAATAGATTTGTCTAAACTTTATGATTATGAATGCAACACAACGTTTTAGTTCTTTATAGTAGCGTTTATTATAAAATATAATATTATACGCTTTAAATTAAATATTTTAGTATAATTCAAATAAATATATAGAAATATAAACCTTTAATTATGCATTTACTTATGATTAGACTTATGATTATTATTATATATTATAGGTCAGATATATATATTTTTGAGAGTTTTTTAGATAATTATAGTTAACGGCAGTTACAACATATCAAGTTCACATCGTTGGCATTCCAATAACCATAAAGATATTTCTATAAAATGAAAATATCTAGAAAACACTCATCATGTTCTAAGACTCATAGTTGGTACTTCCTGAAAGTACGTAGTCCTTTTTTTATTATTTTTAATATATAACTATAATTTTTACTTTATTAATACAATTTACTTTATTATTATAATTTTTGCTTTATTATAATATAAATATAACAACAATTATTACTTTATTAATCTGTACTCTATATATAATAAACAAGCAAAAAACATAATATTAGCAAGTACATATTCTAACACACGTTCGGTGACGACACTTTTGGCTCAGTTTGTAGTGACGCTACTTGCTGTGCCGGCGGTCGCGGGTTCGATTTCCGCTGGGGGCATTCATTTGTGTGATGAGCACGAATTGTTGTACTCCAGTCATGGGTGTTTATATTCGAAATATAAATATATAATATATATGTATGTGTATCAACTATCTGGTATCCATAACACAAGCCTCGCAGCTTATCATGGAAATAGATGGTGCTGTGCGTTAATGTCACAACATATTTATTATTATTTTTATTTATTTATTTATATTGAATATATAATAATTATATATACATACATAGTCACAAGCACTAAATTAAGTCATTTACACTTCATTTATGTATAGTTTATATAGTTATACGTAGATGCCAATATTAACATCGTAACGTTTAATTTGATGGAAAAATAATACTTTCTTAGATTTACGCGAATATTTAACATTTTAAATAAAACTATCCTTTCGGATTTTTTCTTGGATTTATTTTGATTTTTGGTTTCCGAAGTTTCGAATGCTTTACAGCGCTCATGGTCACGGGAGAGACTAAGGTTTTAGACGTCTCAAAGGCATTGTATAGTTGCAGGCACTATCTGTAACTGGTTGTAAAGCATTCCAAACGTCGGGAACCAAAAATCAAAATAAATCCGACAAAAAATCCAAAAAGATAATTTTAATAGAAAGAATTTAAAAATTACACAATCAATTGTAATCACCCTTGTACACTTCATAGGAAATAATATACAAGTTAATATTCCTGTTATGTAGTTTAATGCATTTTACAATCCATATAAGATTTTATAGAAAATGTATTATGTTAATGATATTATATTACGTAATAGTACCTAACTAGTGAAGTTTCAAATATATATATTATATTCTTGTACTACACATATTTAGATATAAGAGATACCGTCTGTAAGAGTCAAAGAAAGTCTGTCGGTCATATACACCTTATCTCTTACTGGTCGTGTCGATTTGTCGCGTTACAAGACCACAGATTAAAAATCGATACAGTAGGCGATTGCGTTTTATTTTAACAACTATTAAAGGGATGGTCAAAAATATCAATTTCGATGGCAAATGATTTGGAAGTTAGCGCTATAGTTCTATCTCGTGGTAAATTATAGTTATATCTGTCAACCTTAAACCTTTTGACCTACTTTAGAGTAAAAGAACGTTTCGTTAGACGACTGCATGGTTTAGTAGACTGTGACAGGTCTGAGAGCGAAAGAGATAGATAGTACACTTTGTGTGTGCGCTCTCCCTCACACTTACTGCACTATAATAATAATATCTCTTATGCCACCGTGACCGAAATCGGTCAGGAGGACGTTAGCAGTGAAAGTTTAATTGTATGTATGTACGTCTGAAAGCAAAACTTCCTTATTTATAATATCATATTAGATCTTTTTTTTTAATTTGAGCACATTTAAATGGGTGTATTTTGGGTAAAGATTATTTTATTAAAATATTTAATCGAATTTTGTTCAAAATACTTTTATAGTAATATACATATCAAATGTTTATATGAACTTTAAAGAGCGTTTATTCGTCAAGACAATGTGATTTTTTTTTCATACAACATCATATACCCATAAAAAGGATTCCATGAACATCGTAAAGTTAACAAGATCTTGATGAAATTATAGTACGAAGCGAAGTTTTGATTTCAATTTTGTATTATCTATCGATATGTGTACCACATACGAATGCCTAAACCGTAATGAAATTCTAAAATTTATAACTTTAATATAATAATCTCGCTTTGATTATATAACTTTAGAATTTAGTATAATTATAATGTGTAATTATGTAACTAGGACAAGGCAAACAGTACTTATATACATAAAATTTGAGGAGTCATATTGAGAAGTCCATTTGAATCATTTGTTTATTATTATTATCCTCATTAATGATTTATCATTATTATACTCATTAATGATTTATTATTTAATTTAAGCATTTCATTAATATTCATTAAAATTCCCAATTAATAAAATGGCTACATATACCTACGTATAATATTACAAGAAAAATTCTAAATTTTAAATTCTAAAGTTAGTCTTAAGTAATTGTTAATCATACAATTTATTATACATACTTGTACAAGACTTTATATAGTGCTTATATATGCTTTTAACAATATATACAGTTTAATGTGTTTAAACGACATATTTCATATTATAATCATATTTACACATGTTTCAACTTGAGAAATGAAAATTTGTACCTATCTCCGTATGGTACATCAAGTGGTTAATATATTTAATCATAATTATTATTAAAAATAAATATGTTTTATGCATTGATATACAAAAACCTAAGATACATTATTAGCGTCTCAAAAGTATCCTCAAAAAGAAGAGCAGAATTTGAAAATTTTGCGCTTTTTTCGAATTTCTTTTGTTCATTGCTTTTCGGATTATGAAATTAAAAAGCACGTTGTTTCGTTTAAAAAAGTACTTTGTGTGGTTCGTAGGTTCGAATATGTGTTTAGACAATTAGAACTTTTGATTTTTGAATTATATGTCGACGCCACTTTTTGAAGAGATATTTGTTAGAGAATGTGTCATTGTGTATCTATGTTTTTATATGTCAACGGTCTTATGTAATATGTAATAGAAAAAATTAACAAAAAAAATCTGTTTTCTTTTTGTGTACAATATAATTACATATTGGGCTTCCATCATAATATTTGAATAACAAATTTAATTTTTATTATATACATTTGTCAAAGTAAAATTGTGCATCGTGTTATACTGAAGGGTTTGCATTGTTTTGTGCAATTTTAGTATAAGAAGTACGATCTGTTATGTATAGGGAGACCAGCCAAGCCAGTGATAATTTATAATTTAATACACGCCACTGAAGGCAGTGGCGGCCCAGTGGTAACGCAGTCGCTTGGGAAACCGAGTAAAGCGGGTCCAACACGCCTCTGACGTTATCATGTCCGACTCATATTTTTAACATGATTACCACTTTTCTTACGGTGAAAGAAATCATCGCGAGGAAACCTGCACGTCTGAGAGAACCTAGCAAGTTTTCGAAAGACATGCTCAGTCCGCCCGCACTCGGCCAGCGTGGTGGACTATGGCCTGATCCTCGTATCGTAGGGAGGCCACCCCCCAGTAGTGGGACGTTAAAAAGGGCTAAACACACGCACGTCACTGAGTTGTTTCAATAGCTTATAACTTTATGACTTTATACCGGGATAAGAAGTAGCTAAAGTCACTTTCCAGTTCATAAACATACTATCTCTATATAATCACGCCGGTATGTTGCTTCGGTATGTGAGATAGAAGGGCAAACCAATTAATATAAATGAACATTTCATAACCTGCAAGTAACAACATTGTAGCTCGGTATTTTTGAAGTTTAGAATTTAAATATATATACTAATAAATGGGAGCCGATTTTTTTGTTCGGTTATACTGCGATAACTACTGAACCGATCGGAATAATACTCATACTATAAGATGCAGCGTGTTTCGGAGAAGGTTCTAGTATATATGTTGGTGATATATATGCGGATAATATGCGGACGGAGCCGCGGGAAAACGCTGTTAAGAAATTAATTTCTATATTCAAATTATCTCAATACCGAGTT